GATGGACTGATCGATGGACTGATCAATGGACTGATCGATAGATTCAATGTGATCATGTCTTCATCGTCTTTCTTTACAGAATCTGCTCAGAGCATCAGCACATTAGGATTCTGTGTGTTGAGGAGCTGCAGCCAGTCACTGAAACATCTGTGCTGTCACCTGTCATGCATATTAGATTACACAGCTGTCATTTAACGCCGGTGTTCAGCGGTGTGGGGCTTTACAACAGTCCCAACAAATCCCTGACTGATTCTGCAGAGATCCAACTCTGACACCAGATGAGAACCAGGTTGCTGAGCATTGTGGGAACAACACGCAGTCTCAATAAGAGCATCGCTTACGTGACACAAGTGTGATACAGACATCTGCCCAAACACAAGACCTCAGTCAAGCTCCATGTATCCATCAAGCCATCAAATCACAATCCTCCATAGGTTGAATACATCGACTCCAGCTGCAGAACATCTGCTCCCACAACACTAAAGCTCCCATTACAGAGACACTACCAAACGCAGTATGATTGAAAAAGCACAAACAGTAAGCATTGCCTCGTGTAGAGAAGCAGAAGCGAGAGAATCACAGCTTTAGAAAGCAGAGAAGAATAAGAGGTTCCTACCAGTGATGCTCAGTTTGACGGGTGGAGGCCATCGTCCATCACTTTCTGTAAAGGAAATAAAAGAGCATTAAAAACTAGAAGTAGGCATCCTTTCATTTTACAAGAAAGTGAGTTTGAAGCTTGAAATCTTAATTGTGGGCCATGTAATTGCTGGTTCAGATGCTGTTTATTGCTAAATGAATCGTGGTATTAATGAACAATGCTATCAAACTCCTGCAGATGCACTGTGGTCACTTTAGGGCCGTAAAATCCAACTTATTGCCCCTTAAACACAGTGCAAGCAGGCATCATAATCATTAGCAGTCAGATGTATTTTTCCACAGCTCTTAAATGACTTTCTGCACACGCACACGCACACGCACACACACACACACACACACACACGCTCTTCATCACCAATCCGACACCTACAAAAAAAGTTATGGGTGTCGATTAAAACAGCTGCTACACATTGTAACACACCGGTGGTTTGGGCTCCAGCTCCCTGTTCAGGCAGCCTCAGTGAATACGCCGCCGCTCATCAAGCATTCGCTCGCCGCCTCGTTTCATTAATATCGCCAGGAGCCGGCGCCGAGCTGTTCCTCTTCTTCCTCCTGCTCCCAGGTGCCGCAGCGTGCCGTTACCTGGGAAATACCAGCCGGAATTAAACCACAGGAAACAATGCTGCAGATTATCCCTGCTGACGAGACGGGACACTGTGTGTTCATAATGTGAATTAACATTTGATGCTGAGTCACCTCCCATGACGCACACTTATTTCCCATCTTTGTCTTAACATGAAGATGTGTTGTGTGTCGTTTAAAGTTTTAATACTGGCTGTGATTACGACGTGTACTCTGTGCTGAACCACCACGCTGCTGCCTCTGTTGCTGTACTGACTTTACTGACTTCCACTGCTTCTGCTTTCACATTATGCGACAGCTAAACTTGTTATGATGGATTGAACAGTGTCCTAATTGTTACAGCAAAATTCATTATTAATTTAACTGGCAATTAAAGCCACAAAACACAATTTCCCAGAGCCCACAGAGGCACGTACAAATTGCTCCAAACAACAGTCCAAAACACAAAGAGAGAACTCTAATATTAAATCTTTTATACACGTATCATCTAATATTAAAATGGTTGTTGGTTAATGTTCTGTCGATGAGCTGGCACTAAATATTTCACACATTTAGATCAAATAAACAGTGGGTTGCATTTTAACGACAACACCCTGATTTAAGAACGTTAACGCAAGTAAACACATAGACCCGACCTATTAGTCCGGCTATTGGTGGTGTGTATCCCTGCTGACGGGCTACTGTGGCTTGAGAAATACAGTCCGACTCCTGCAGGAAGTCATACAGACTGGCATTATGTTGTGAGAAAGGACAGATACTTGATTCTCTAAATAAATAATATTATATTTGTACGGCACACAGAAAGATTACAGCTTTGGAACCACTGACCACTTGACATTTCTGGTATTTCTTCAGTCAAAGTTTTCTCAATCTTCCCTCAAGGCTACCGGCTCTGCATTGTTAAAAGTCAGGTATCAAAGTCTAAAAGTTACCCACTTCACATTTCTGCTGCTTATGACAATGAGCGAATGCTGAGCGCAGCTTCTGAGCGTGTCCTCTCAGGGCTTTTCTTTCCTCCGGATGCAGCCTTTCAAGGCAGCAACAGACATTTAAGCTTAGCCTTGAGTATTAGCACCACAATCTCGCGAAGCATTTGCATTAATGGCGTTTTTCCCCCCTCTCAGCTACAGAGTGTAACACCAGCTAAGCTTGTCTCAGATTACTGTGGTTTCCTTTCGGTGCGGGATCTCACATCACAAACAACGCAGCAGCCAGTGGAGCTTCCACACAAAATCTCAGGAATACAGGCTGATCCCCGTGTACACAAACACGTCACACTAAATGTGGACCGACGCTGGAAGAAATGAACCCTTACCTATAATGAATACATAGCATCATAAGCTTTGATACACGATTCTGAAGCTGTACAGATCATCTGATTGGCAGAAAACTGATCTAAACCTACTCTGAATAGTTTTAAGTCTTTTATGAAGCAACCCAAACCTCTCTTTAGTTACAGTCGGTCATTAGGGTTTGCTCTCTCTTTATTTTATGTGACAGTAAACTAAATATCTTTGAGTTTTGGACTGTTGCTCACACACAGCAGGACATGTGAAGACTTCAGGTTGGACTTTAGGAAACTGTGATTGTGAGAAATCGAAGCGATGCCACATTTGATGAAGGATCATCAACTGTACCATTACTATTACAGGAGTATAGTGTACTCAATAATGCTTCTGTCAGGCCTGTTTACACCTGTGAAATGATGAATGTTAATGGAAAATGTTCATAACGTTTGACACAACCACCTTTATTGATTAGCCCAGTAGTTATTTAAATGTACAATTATCTATCTACAGTAAAGAATAACTACATCTTATGAGACAGTGAAACTAAGTTATTACTGTTATACAGTCAACCTAACAAAGTACTACTAGCCTTAATTAAACATTTAAAGTCTTTACTAACATTCCCTTTCTATTATTACTGTGAATGCTTCAGCCTCCGTTCAGCTGTTTAAACATTGTATATGACAGTAAGGTCTGTGCAGGAACACGTGGATGTAACAAGGTTTCAGCTCTTCTCTCGCTCTGGGCTCTTTATTTTATCCATTCTTTTATTTATGGAAGTATATTTATTCAACAGGAGTATCTGTTTGTTGAAGGCAGAAATACATGGAGTTGGAGCATTGTTAGCCGCACAGGAATATCATAACGAAGGGGCATAGCTGTGTTGCCATGGTAATTTGTTTTCTCAACACAATAAAAATTTCATATTTCTATTCCTGTTTTTTTATTATTGCTCTGAATAATTATATATTATTTCAGTTCAGCTGTTTATACATTATAGTTATATCATTTTGTAAGGTTGTTTATGTTTATGTTTACTCAGACATTAAATAAATAAACAACCACTGCTAACAAGCTGACTTTTAAAGGATGTTTAAACCTACAGTGTCAGCACACAGCCTCATAAATATTATTATCATTATTATCATTATTATTATTAATATTATTAATAGATAGAAAAACTACAAACTTTACCGCAGTGACGTCAGTAGGCAAGCGACGGCTCGCACACCTGACGTCTTAATTAGGGAAACGTCTCAATTAAAGTCGTTTTAAAGTGAGAACTAACTTACTATTGTCAATATACTCTCCTCGACAGTAGGAACTCTTTCCGAAGACATTACTTTCAGAAACATGTCGAATATTAACACTTTGACAGACTAACAACAAACAAACAAACAAACAAACTAACACGTGGTTGTTTTCCGCCGCAGCAACAGTTGCTACGTTCAAACTAAACCACCGACACCGGCTGAATATCGCACTGTACACATAATTATGAGGATTATAATAACGCTGATAACTTACCTGTCTTTATTTGACCCCAACATCCGTAAAACCCCACAGCAGAAGAAGTGTTGGGCAAAACTATTTCTCTACCCATAATTCCTTGCGAACACACCTTGCCTGACGCTTCTCCTACCTATTCTGTTTTTTTTTTCCCCAATTTGAACTGAAATCAAGCACCATTAACCATCTTATTACACTAACACTCTGGAAAAACAGAGGTAAAATGATCCGGTTATTGAACATGATGGGATGTCTCACTGACAAGCTGTCAATTAGTGCCATTTCTATGTGTAAGGAAGTGAACATGACAGGTTTAAGTTGCCTGTAGAATATTTAGAAATATAGCATAAGCTGAGCCAGCACTTATTCTAACTTGTCTCAGCAGAATAAAATCATTTGCAGCCATATATTCCTAAATATACCGAGATGAGAGGAGTGTTTGACTTTAGTTGTGTGGATACAGGGTGCCATCTATTTTAGCTCATTTAATAATTTGATATATATAGAATGTGGCACAAATACATATAATAGAGCTTATCCTTCGTTATATATTCACCCTGTGCTAGCTCTGTATCATTGCTCATTTGGGAGCCATAAAAAGAGCTCTGTAAGTAACAGCAGCAGTTCATAATGGCTGCTTTAAAGGAAAACACACACACCTCCATTCATCACAATTATAGGTTCCAGACGGCAAAAATATCTCAACCGGGGCAATTTAGAGAAGATGTGTGTGCCTTTTTTTTTTTTATCATGTCTTAACGATCTACACGTCACCCCACTTTCACCATAATGGCTCAAATTGGGGTCCTTCCCTCCCAGCATGCCTTACAAGAGACTTGGGTGCAGGATGAAGTACGTCCAGCAGATGACAGCGTTTCACTTCGAATTTCCTGAGGTGGCCAGTTTTTCTCCCCGTCTTCTAATTGGAGGACAGAAACTGGTCACTGCTCAAATTCAATGAGGCGGCGTTTTATTCTGATAATACGTTAATGTGATTTCCCTTGATTTGTTCAATTGAGACATGAAAAGGGCAGCTTAGATACGCCAGCTGTATCCGTGGTCAAGTCAATATCCAACCTCGCCACACAGACATCGATACTGTTATAATAATTAAAAGATGGAGCCACTCTTGCAGGAAGTAAGAGTAAATTGAAAGGCTTGGTGAGTGATCAGTGATCCATGACTTGCATCTTCCACACTGCATGCGGAGGCAATTATGCCGTGCTGAACCATGGTGAGTTCAAAATTATTCCAAAAACTGGGTTAACAGCTGCCTGCATCCACTCTCCAAATGCTTTCAGCTCTCACACACACACACACACAACATACACAGCCTCAGTCTCCACTGCCACCTATCCATGCACAGACAATTGGCCTGGTTCTTGGAGTGGAAGACATGTCACACAGAGCACAGTGCACAGAGCTCCGAGTAACAAGGCCCTGTGGGACATACAGGGGCATGGTATACCTGCCAGAGTGAGTAATACTCCTCACCAGTAAGTGTGTGTGTGTGTAGGTAGAGGAAGAAACAAAACATCTGTGCATGCGTACGTCCGCTTGTGCTTTCACTCCAGCGAGTGTCTCCACTTTACCCACACGTCACATGCTTTCGTTCAGGGAGCTTATTACGCCGTGACACTGTAATGAAGTGAAAATGATTTCATTTCGGGGGGGGGGGGGGGGAGAAGTGCCAAAGCTTAGGAACTCCCCCTTTCTCACAGGCACACACTTGCACACCATATGGCGACATGTCGGCTCAGATGAAACATCTGGCGGCTTTCTATGTTCACACGGGCTCAGATGATTAGAATGTAGCTTCACGTTGCAGCCATGATGCCAGAAAAACAAGACGGCTATAGGGAGCGTCTTCCTTCCTCGGGTTCAGTGTAAGGAGGAAGAACTGCGATCTGACTCATCCAGTAAGGTTCAGGGCAGTTGGTCTGTGAGAGGAAGAGATTTTTATGATAGGGTTTGGTGTGGTTAAGATTAGAGTCAGTCTCTCTGTTCAGATCCATAATACCACAATCCTGCCACAAACATTGCACTTACCAGAGTTTTTGGGGACTGGAAGCATGTCAAAATAATCCTGAGACACAGGATTTCATTCCAAACAGTATTCATGTAGATCAAAAGTATAATTATAATGTGCATGAGGTAATTATGTAACACAGTATTCTCATTATATTAAAGTGATTCTGCTTTCAGGTGAGGTAAGACAGTATAGGGAATCTTCTGTGATTGACTGATTCACACATGCAGCCACTGATGTTGCAATAGTTGACCTGAGTTGTACACGTGTTACATTTAATAGAAGCTGAAGGAAACTCTGGACTGGGTCGAGATGGTGAGCGACACAGAAGACATGAAATTCAGGCGTCATATCTATTCTTTGTACTTAAAGGATCAGTTTGACGTCTTTGGAAAAACAGATCTTCAAGCTAACTCTCAAAAAGCATATTTCCCAAAATGTC